TTTTCACACTGACATGCATATCAGAAGTAAACTTTGTTTTAGAACCAGGTCACTGATTTTCCGGTTCGTACAAGGATTCTTAACAGTGGTCGAGAGGGATATTGAGAATGCGTCGATACTTATTTTGTCAGATTCATCATTACTGTGCAAAGGGAAGAGCAAATCTGATCCAGAAAATATTAAGTTAGAACTCATTCAGTTTTTTCCCATTTTTTGTCTGTCACATATTTTGCATATTTTTATACATATTGCATGTTCGTTCGGGAATTTTAATAAAACGAGCTAAATGCTGCCAGGCAGAACGTCGCAATGTGCTTAGATCACAAAGGACGCTTTGTTAACTGTCAAATAGCGTTTATACGGGTTTTGACTCAGAAAGTCAAAAGTTGTGCAGGCGTTTGAGCCGTCTGGAGCTGACTTATTTCTTACGCCTTTCACTGGACTCAAGATTGCTCATAGAAACCTAGATGCATAGTGAGGATTCAATGGATTATGCTACCTAGCAGAAATCCGGATTATCCAGCGAACGTTGGTTTTAACGCCGCCAATGAGAATAAACGGTTCGCATCATTTCTTATAGTTTACGTGGCATAATTGCTAAAAGTACTCCAAGTTCTTTGAAATAAATGGCAGCAAGAATATGCCACGCAAATCTGGAGAAATCTCACTTAATGAGACCATTCTTTTCAGGATTTTTCCAGAGTCGAAATCAGCATAAGCAATTGAATACGAATGTTCCATAAGAAAACACAAAACAGATGTCATCTTCTGCTCGCAAGTCATCCGAAAAATACTGTTATTAATTCAGAACTAAATTTATATTCAAATTACCTTGCTTAAGTCGGCTTTCGTCCCAGTTGCGTGCCTATGGCGCAAAGTCATGAGTGGTGACTAGGAAAACAATCTTGATTACAAGTGCCTTCTACGAAAAGCGTTTCCTCAGAATTTGAGCAGTGATTCAAGAACTGCATGACGCCGAGCCGATGATGACGGTTTAGAGATCGAAAACAGTGACGATTTGTGCATATCCTCGAAACATCGCCGCAAATGATCACCAAAGTTTTTCCATGTTGAAACGATGAGCAAAGTAGCCGAAGGAATACCAAGGCTGAATTATAGCTAATACAGTAATATGAACATTTGCTAAACTCTGGCTGCCTCATGCAGATGCTCAGGCATTGGTGGCATTGCTTTCCTCGTTACTTGAAAGTGAACGCACGACTGGGAAAGCAAATATATGGGTATATCAGCATATTATTCGGTCTGAAATGCCAGGTTACCGCATAAACACCTTGGTAGTGAAAAATGTGGGTTATATGACTGCTTAATCTAATCTTAATCGTGACTTTATTTGATCCTGCTTAATTAGAACTGAGACGGTCCTGTGCCATGAATGACCTGGATGGCAAAAAGGCTAGCAACAGTTGCATCAATATATTGATCCCGATTAAAGTTACCCGCAGATTTGGTCATATTGTGCTGCAACGAGAAGAGGCAGCAAAAAATGCTTGTCAACTTCGGTTCTGGCAAAGAGTGACGAATCTCTCGCCACTCTCCATGTGATAATCAGTCCCTCAGATAATTTATGCTGCTACTGGTTGATAAACAAACTATATCATCTGAAGCGCAATTTCAGTACAAAGCCGATAATCAGAAAGATACCAGTAGCACAGGTGATACATTGCCACAAGACCACCAAAGCGGATATTGTTCAACAGTTGTTTTATAGTAAATAACGGTCAAATCAATTATAACAACCGAAAATTGAGGTATACCGGTGTTTTGATCTTCCTTTGTATGACCTCCATCATGGGTCAACATTTTTTCATCTTAGTGCTATAGTACATAAAATATCACTTGATCCTTGCTGGCAAATAGTGCATCTATTATCAAGGAAACATGACACGACACAATAAGTGTTTTCCTCCATTCAGAACGAAAGCGATGTTAATATAAAAATCTGAAAAACATTAATGGTCCAGTGATGATGTTATAGGACCATTTCCACACTGTGGAAATTCAACTGGAAAGAGATAAGATTACCATCGTAGCCCAGAAATGAATTGGGATCTGTGAAGATCATGATATCATTCTATCCGACTTGTTTTCATCTATAGTGGCGTCACAGGCGAAAGTCGACGCTACGCTGCTCTTCTCGGCGTCTCCGTTCACCAGAC